CCCCAAAACCCCAAAACCCCAAAACCCCAAAACCCCAAAACCCCTTTATCAATAAAGCAAGTTGATATGATATAATTATTAAATAAAATGATTTCTCGTATTGCTGCTAAGAGATCTTTTTACCACACCTCTAAATCAATTTATCAAAATTGCTTTAGATCAATGTCTTCAGCTAACATTGCTGCTCAACATTTTTGTAAGTTCCTTTACATTAAGTCTTTACTTCATCTGACTTTTAATGTTTAGCTCCTATTAGAGTAACATTCACAGACGACGACTCCCGCATGACCGTTGATCTGCCTTCAGTAGGCCCAACATGGATTGTAGTTGGTAAATATTATTGTGTGACTTTCTATAGACAAAACAGATACTTTTGGAAAACTCAAGGAAACTATTCAGCAAGAAGATACAGTCGTAGAGCAATTTGAAGTTCTTGATTCTTCACTAAACACCATTTCTGGTTTCTCAAACTTGAAAGTTCAAGAGTCTTTAGAAGATCCATACCTCACATACTTTTTAAAGATTAATGGAGATATCCATGAATTTGATACTCCAACTCTTGATGTGCATAAAGAAGCAAGAGAGTCTAGAAAAACTAGTAAAACAGAAGGATATTCAGAAAAAGTAGGGTCAGATGAAACCATATCTGCCTTCTTAAACCAGGCAGAAGATATTCTGTACAACCATTTCAATGGAATCAAGAATAAATCTCAGAACAAAGAGAAGTTATCTTTGGCCAAGAAATATATCTACAACTTGTACTTAAAGAAAATTGAAATTGAAAGGTCAATTGCAGATCTTGACAAAGAGAAAAAGATTATTGACAAGAAAGCCCAGTTTAGGACAAATCTGGTCTTTACCTCGTACTTCATGGCGTTCCTCACTGAATTCTTGGTTGGATATTATTGCATTTATGAAGTGGATTGGCTAGGTTGGGATCTTGTCGAGCCAGTTACTTACAGTCTAGCACAAGGCCAATTCGTCATCGGAACATGGTTCTTCTGAAAATATCTTTCTGATTCGAGTTGTGCCGACCTCAACTCTTTCTTCAAAAATAGAATTAGAAAGAAGATGTACAAGAAAAGACTGTTTGAATTCGAAAGACTAGAGTATTTAAAAACTCAACTAAAGGAGATTGAGTCGAAGATTGAAAAGAAAGAAAGAGAAATGCTTTACTAACTTTGCTTCTTAATTGCTTCTCTTCATCTTTGCTCTTAAAATTTGAATGTTTCTTTTCTGAATTAAATCTCAATAAGATTTGGATCACTTTTAGAGAAGATAATTAATTTCAGCTCTTCTTCTTGTTTAGCATAAAGATATATGCCGGGACTTGAGATTATTACCAAAAGTACCTGTACTGGATTCTTCAGTTTGCATTTAATCAATACTCTTTTGCTTCTTGAGTAGTTTATGACAGAGATATAAAATGATTCACTTCTTGTGAATATTCTTATAATTTTAATAAGGTTCGATTCGAATAAATAAATTTAGAATCCAATAGCAACACCTAGTTGAGGGGTTTTGGGGTTTTGGGGTTTTGGGGTTTTGGGG